CGGGGGCTGCAGCAATATGGACGGACGGGGATAGGCGCGGCGAGCCAAGCCGACCACGCGATCCGCGGCAAGCGGCGGGCGGGCGCGCGCCTCGCGACGCGGCGGGCGAGGGGAGGGGATAGCGCAGCGGGGGCGCGCCCGCCGGGCCAGCCCTTGGCGACAGGCGGGCAGAAGGCGGCGGGAGCGCGCGCGCACGGCCTCAGGGCCCCGCCCTCCACCCCGCCCCTCGCCTCCGATTCCTAGGAACACCTCCTGGGCTAGGGGGTTGGGGAGCTCAGGCCAGACGGGGGCGAGCACGTGCCTGATGCAATTCGAAAGGGGGGGTGAGGAAGGGGGCAGGAGAGCTGAGGGGGTAAAGAGGGGGAGGTTTCTTAAAGGGCCAGAGCAGGCGAGCGGCCTCAGGTGGAGCACATGGAAACGGGCCACGCGGCCGGGCCTGCTTGCGCTCTTTAGGTTGGGTGCCAGATTCAGAGGAAGGAACTTTGAATGTCACCCCTGACTTCCAGGATATTGAAAGGAGGGGGTCCTCATTTGTCCCGAGAACGCGCTGTCGCCACTCGTTCCCTTGTGCCTGGAGGACCTGAAGGGCCCAGGCCCCGCCCGGGTGACCTTTGGCGAGCGCCCTCACCTCCACGGGTTGCGCTGTGCTCCTCCCCACGGGCCGGGCCTGGACTGTGCGCGAGACGGGTTCCACTCCGGGCTGGTAGGCTAGCGGACGCCTAGGAAGTGGGGACAGAATTACCTATGCTCACCAGGCCCTGCCCCAGTATTTATGGGCAGGAAATGTCTTTTCTTTCAAGTGGATTTCGTTTTGTTTTTTTTTTTCCTAAAGAATTGCTTTGGGCGGAGCTGAACCTACCGGCTCCATTGGGACTTCAGAGATCTGAGATTTTCTGGCCCTGCCATCAGTCCCTTCCACTTCCTTGGGCCTCAGTTTCCCTAGTGTACAACGAGGGAGCAGTGTTTGCCAGCGGTTTCAAACTTCAGTAGACATTCAATTCAATAAATATTTACCAATCCCGTACTGTGGGAGCCCGCAGAGTTCTAGGAAACAAGTTTGGCAATAAATAGGGCTAACAAAGTTCTTATCCTCATGGAATTTACCTTCTAAGGTAGGGGAAAGAAACAATAAACAAATTAAGTGATAAATTCTTGTCTAGTATCTAAGACCATAACTTATTGCTATAGTAAGACTAGATGGGCGCTTCAGTTTGGGTGATAAAGGAAGACTCCCTTGAAGGACAACTCCAAAGTCATAGGAATCAGGCCTGGTCTGAGATTGGACCTAGAAATCTACATATGTATAAAGCAAGAGCCCTTAGGTGCTTAAGGCATCAGGTGGTCCCACATCTTTTGAAGAAGTTCTGGCCTCCACCTGGCTATCATCCCACCTTCTCAAGACAACAGCCTGGAATGTTGATCGTCTCCAAAACAAGAGTTAGAACACACGACCTGCTAGATTGAGGAAAGGATTTAATGAAAAGACTTTTTGGAATTTCCCCAACCAGTAGGTCCCTGGACTGGATAGAAGTACTGGTAGGGATAACTAGACAATCTGATGTCTACTTGCAACTCCCAGCTGTCTGCAGTAGCTCACAGCTGTAATCTCTGCTTTGGGAGGCCAAGGCAGGAAAATCACTTGAGCTCAGGAGTTCAAAGCCAGCCTGAGCAATGTAATGGGACCCCCATCTCTGCAAAAACAAATTTTAAAAATTAATTGGGGTCGGCGCCTGTGGCTCAAAGGAGTAAGGCCCTGGCCCCATATGCTGGAGGTAGTAGGTTCAAACCCAGCCCTGGCCAAAAACTGAAAAAAAAAAAAAAAAAATTAATCAGGAGTTGTGACACATAACTATAGTCCTAGCTATAGTTCAGGAGGTTGAGGCAGGAGGATCTTGTCACTTGATCCCAGGAGTTTGAGGTCACAGTGAGCTATGATTGTACAACTGCACTCTCTAGTCTTGGTGACAGAGGGAGACCCTGTATATAAAAAACAAAACAAAACAAAACAAAAAACAGTAGTCCCCCCCTTAACCATGAGGGATACAGTCCAAGACTCCCAGTGGATGCCTGAAATCCTAGGTAGTACCAAACCCTATATATAATTTTCCACTATATTTACATGCCTACAATAAATTTATAAATTAGGCACAGTAAAAGATTAATAATAATAAAATAAAACAGTTATAACAATATACTTTGATAAAAGTTATATGTTTCTTTCTCTTCCCAAAATATCTTATTATATATAATATTTTCAGACCACAGTTGACAACAGGTAATTGAAACCTCAGGAAATGAAATGGTAGATTGGGGGGGCAGGGGCTACTATATTAGAAATGACCAAATAGTTAAAAGTAGCTACTTTTATTGACTATTATATGCTATTATTAGTAATAATAATAACAATTATTATTTTCTATGGAAAATACTTGACATTCATTATCTCATTTAATTTTCACAATAACCCAACGGGATAAGTATTAGTTTTTTTTTTTTT